CGCCAACAATTTGTCATGATCTTTTATCAGGGATTTTTGGCAATCAGAATTGTAATTAATATGTGTGTTAATCATAGAAATTAAAAGTAATAGAAAAATTGTTTTTAATGTATTTACTTTACTTTACCTACTTCAAAGCCGTGAGAAGGGTGGCGCCAGTGGTAGGGGGAGGGAGGCAGGGCCTCGTTGGGGAGAGTTGACCCCCGTCGGGGAGAAAAACCACAATTCGCCCATTTTGCTTTCGTAGGGAAAATTTGCCCCCCCCGGGGGCATCTCCCCCCAGTCGGGGACCTCGGCGGTCAAAAAAGTGAGGGGGACTAACCCCCTTAAAAATATGTGAGGGGAGCGTGTCCCCGCCCCCTCCCCCTCCACCATGATCTAAGCTTATGTGCTTATAGGTCCTGAAAAGAGATGTTGCACATTGTAAAATTAACTGTCGCACTTTGTAATAATATAAACTGAGCATTCGACTTTGTAGTAAACTTTTTTTGTGTGTTGAAGTGATGTAAGTTTATATCTTCCTTTATGATTTATAAATTATATGTTAGCTTGGTTAGCTATAATAAATTGTTTCATTCTTATAGGCTACTCTTTCAGTTTTTTTTTTTATAGGTAAATTAATTTATGAAACTATTATTTAGTGTGCGTTCGTTATCATTAATCCAACACTTTCACGACAGACCAGCCCAATAAATCTTGTTTAATTGTCTGTTTCACCAATAAATACAACCTAATTCTTTAATGAATAACAGAATAATTTGCTCTAGAGTCATCTTCTTTATTATTATTATTATTTTTTTTAATTATTTCTATTATTATTATTATTATTATTATTATTATTATTATTATATTTGTTGCTGTTTCTTTTTTTTTCTTTACAATTCTATTGCTGTTGATGTTAACCTTTCATTATCATTTTATATTATTATGGTCTTATTATTGCTATTGCTATTATTATTATTAATTATTATTAATTATTATTATTATTATTATTATTATTGCCGTAAATATTATTATTATTATTATAAATTTTATTTTCTATTTATTTTATCTTATTATTATTATTATTATTATTATTATTATTATTATTATTACTGTTGATGTTTTTGCTATTATAATTGGTTTCCCTGGTAGGCTTGTACAGGGACTTGTTACCTTTTTGCCTACCATACTCATTAGATTACATTTTTAGTGAAATAAAATTATGAATACAACATGGTCAAATGTTAAACGCGTCTTAAAATCACACACAAAACAAATCATGCATTTTCACTAGAAAATACTTCATTTGATCAATATCTGCATTAACGAATATATTTTTTTAACGAACGTACATTAAAGTTTGGTATATTTCTCTTTAATGTGTTTATAAAACGGACAGAAAAGAAGGAAATGAATTTCATCTTCATCTAAATTTAGAGTCGCAAAAAACTTCTTTTTTATTCTCAATATTCAAATGTCAATCAGCATATTATGGCAAGATAAGCTAAATCGTGAAAATATTGATTTGTATTCATTCAATTAATTTATATTCATTGATATTAATTCAAATTATACATTTTCACATATATATTCGGACTTAATAAATATTGTTATAAAACTGAAACCGTGAATTTTTTTTTTAAATTATTTCATTTGCTTTTTGAAAGTGCAACATCTAAAATTCTTTGTGAAAAAATAGGTAAAAGCTATCATCAACTAAACTATCCTACATAGAAATAAAACCAAAATTATCTAGCCTATATAAGATGTAAAAAAAAAAAAAAAATCTAGGCCTACATTTTCAGGACACGTGAGCTGAATTTCTTTTTTTGTTACAATGGAAAAATTAGAAATCGGAAAAGCTCATTTTCTGCCATCTAGGAATCACAATTTTTTTTCCGGGGGTGGACTCAACCCTCATTCTTTTTGGGGTTCGGCAATGATCAACATTTTCCCGGGAAAGGGCACCGACTCCCCGTTCTATTTGGGGTTCATCGGTTCATGGAAAAAATAATTCGTTTGCAACTTCTCAATTTTTGTTATGTATGTATACACACATAAATAGGCCTGCTTAGTGTAATAAGAATGAGAAAGTTTAACTGACCGCTTTCAAGAATGAATTTTGAAAAACTGAAAAGATACCTCAGAAGTCGGGAAAGCTCATTTTCTGCATCTAGGTAACAAAATGTTCCCGGGGAGGACCCGGACCCTTTCTTTTTGTGGTTTTTATGAAAAAAAAATGTGACCCCCACCAACCAAATGTGAACCCAGATCGGCCCCTTTAATTTAAGGACACAAAACAGTTTAAAGCTGGTAACCTCAATTACAAATTCCTTTCATATAAAATATTATACTATATTCTACATAAGTTGGCGATAGTAGTTACATTAGCTGTGATGCAATTTCCGTTACTACATTAGCTGTTGAGCGTTCTACATTAGATGGGGTTGATTTTCGGTTTACTGCATAAGCTGTTGGGGTTTATAAATTAGCGGGGGGTTTTACTACGTAAGCTGTGGAGTGTGCTACATTAACGGTTGTGTTACTACATTTAGCTGTTGTTTTCTACATTAGAGGTTGTAATAGCTTTTTTAAGCTGAAAACTGCTTTAATGGTGAAGGAGTTTTGGTGGATGAATTTTTTGGAACGTGCGTCGAGAGTGTCTTGAATTTTCTACCAACAATGTGGACCTTTATTAATTGGGAGGAGGCGTGGATACGTATACGCACCTGTCTATTTTTCCTCCCCCTGCGTACGGGCCTATTCATACTATTCGTAACATATGCCAACTCGTACACACAGAATTTTGGCGATCCCGTACACACAATTGACTAGCCTGTACACAAGTATTGTGTAACATTTATTTTGGATTTAATTTCAAACTTTATGCAAAATGTATTGTATTTTGATAATAGTCAAACTGAATGATCTATATTAATAAAACCAACATATGATTATCAGAACATGGTTCATAAATGGAAATAGATTTAGAACATTGAGAGGGCGCTATACAAATTATTAGGACGTTTTTATAGATATACGGACCCGCGGTTTTAGCTTAGTATTGAGGCTTAACTATACATAATACTCGCATAATACATTTGTTTGCATTTTTTCAGTAACAGTGTAATGATTATTATTTTTTTTTACGATTGTTAGTGTTTTAGAAATTTTAGTTACAATTAACTTGAACATAAGTTTATGCGTGCAGTTCCCAGAAGTAAAAATTCAAAAGTGTCCCGAACATACGTTAGAACCCCTATTAAGAAGACACCTCCGGGACCAAAAAAGGGTACCGCTATTCAGGGGACACTAACCAAAAACGTGAAATAGTCCCTTAATAGGGGTTTTTGACGTGTTTTCATATAACGATGACACACAATTCTTTATAATTTTATTTTTATTGACACAATTATTTACAGTAGAATTAGAACTAATTTATAGCAATAATTTGCAATGCAAATACAATTCATTTATAATATGAAATCAGCAGAAATGTAACTAAAACAACAATAGTTTTATATATTCCCAATATTGCTTCAATGAATTAAAATCTTATGAAAGTGGACAAAAAGCGAAGAAAAAGAAATCCCCATGGTTAAGGGTCAAAATTGACAAGATGCTTTTTGGGTTTTTGGCTCTCTCCTAGAAATTAATATTTATCTTTTTACCTAAAAGCTGTACCGTACATAATAAAAAAAAAGAGAAATAAATGTTACGTTGAATTAATTGAATTGAATTATGCGAAGTAACACATGCAGTAGGTCTTACCGATATTCACTCAAAGGATTTGGGAACATCTTGGTTTATTGCTCAGATATAAAATTTCAAAATTCAATTTTCATTTACCAATTAATTTCGATTTCAATTTATTCAAAAAACCTCCGCAACAGACTAGAAGTAAAGTAGTAGGCCTAGAAGAACTTTAAATTAATAGAAAAATTTCATTAAAACATGCAATTTATTCATACCTATACCAGAACAATTAAAATAAAAACCACAAAAAAATTGGACAAATTATCAAAATACAAAATTCAATCAAATCAATACGAGGTGAGAACAGAACACCACTTTAATAGATATAAGCAAAACAACATACCATGAAAGTACTTTAACACGCCGAGCTACTACCAAACAAACACGGATTATTTTACTTATTATTCAAAATTCTTGTTGCAATTTCAGTTAAAATATTATTATTATTATTATTTATTATTATTATTATTATTATTATTATTATTATTATTATTATTATTATTGTTATTGTTATTGTTATTATTATTGTTATTATTATTGTTATTATTATTATTATTATTATTATTATTATTATTATTAGTAGTAGTAGTATAACAATAGCTCGCCCTTAACAACAAACAGCAGTAGAAATGATAATAGTTAGAAAGGTGCTCAAAATGTGTCAATATATAAAGTTGAGTGAATTTTTCCTATTTTGAGACTGTTGTATTTGTTGTGACACAATATAAAAACAATAGGTGTCCCCCCCCCAATAGGGGTTATTTGACCATTTGGCACACTCAGAAAGTGTCCCCGTCCCCTTAATAGGGGTGTCCCCTGAATAGGGGTTGGCTGCAGTGTTAAAAGATTGCCCCTCGTTTCACGGAAAAGTGTCCCCTTAATAGGGGTGTCCCCTGAATAGGGGTGTCCCAAAGGAGGGGTTTTACTGTAGTTATATTTATCAACGTAATTATAGTATTTGTCAATGTCAACAAAAACATTAAAAAATGGATCCACCATCGATCAATGAAGTTACTGTTACACATACGTACTCTTTCACTTCTTTTTATAGTTAGTTTATGTATTTATAAATTTTATTAAAACTATATTTTAAAATATTTCCATTTATATGTGTATTTTATATGATTTTACATGATAAGCAGATAGCTGACGTTTCGAAGTTAATGGAGATATGTATGAAGTAGGTAACTCACTTGGCACATACACTGCGACCGCACGTGTTTGCATAAAAAAATAGCTATTTTTTTTAGCATCTGACCTACTTACGTCTTTTAAAGTAATGCGCCAACATTGCTGAAGGTGGCTCTCAAAGACTTTGTCTGCTTCCCTCAAGAGTACCATGGGAACCTGTTTGGTTGTGGGAAAGTTTTTTTTTCTAGTAGGCAGCTATGTACAGGTAGGCCTAATATGCCTCAAAGTAGTGAATTTTTCATGCTTTTAAAAACAAGCCCGAAACCGCCAAGCGGCCATTTGTATATGGGCCCCTATTTATAAATTATATTAAAACTGTATTTACTATAATATTTCTATTTATTTGTGTATTTTATAAACATCAGAATATGTATCGAAACTGGAAATAAACAAACAATACAAATATTGTGTCTGCTTCACCTCAAGAGTACCGTGGGAATCTATTTGTGAGAACGTTTCTTTCCACAAATTATACTCTAGTTGCAACTATGAAATAGGCCTAGCAAGTGAGTGATTTTGTTGGGCCTATGAATAGAAAAAAAATGCTTGAAACGGACATTGAAATGTACGGTATGCACTGATAAATAATTGATCATTTTATATGGAAAATATAACTATGAAAATACTATATATTTACTTTATTATCATTCATCATAATTTAATATATTTTCTTTATCTTTATATATTATTATAGACATGTTCACATTTATGGTAAATGGGAAAAGACAAGAAAACCAACGATGACAAGCAAATCACAGACGACAAATGACTGCTTTATTTCATAAATCTCCATGAAGCAATAATAAACATGCAGTCAAAATGTATCGCAACAAACGATTAAAAAAAAAAACGTTTCTCAAACCTAGTTGATAGTAACATTTGTGTGGTAACACTAAGTAACACCAAATGATACTAAACTTTAATAATAGTTGTAATACAAATAATTGTTAATACATTAATGTTACAGTAGAACTCAATGAATACATGCCAAGTTAGGAAAATTTGCAGGCTTGAGACTAGTGGTGTCAGAGGGCACGCGCTTTCCCATCGCCAAATGTTTTCCCCTGATACACGAAAATGGATTATAATTGCCACTTTGCCAGTGTTGTATTTTTCTTGAGAATGCATGTTTCTGTCGTCCACGAACCTATCCCACTGGCAGTTCTTTGACAACCTTATTGATGCAACTAGTTTGATCTCATCTGATCGAAAAACTAAGAGAAATTGACCCTATAAAAATGCATTTGTGTACGAGTTCGCCAAAGTGTGTACGAGTTGACATGTGTATGAGTTAGCCGGCACCCATATTAGGGAACTGTAAGCATTACAATTCTGAAAATTTAAATTAAAGAATACATATTGATCAATATTATTTTCACACCATAGTGTCACAAGATAACAAGATAAAAAAGAGTGTTAAAACAATCAGAAATTGCATTCAGTGCATAACAAACGTTAGTAATATAAACATTAAAAATACATAATGATTATTATATACAGTACGCATACTTTATAAAACTTATATATATATATATATATATATATATATATGATATTGAAGGGAGTTACCCGTTAACACTGTTGAATAAATATAATATAAATCATCAAAGGTACATATACAGTGTTTAAATAAGGACATGATGGGACATCGTAGGCCACCCTGTAGCTTTTCAACGAATAAAGTCCTATAAAAGTCATTGTGTAATAAAATTCCTCCGACGGGATTCAAACCATGCAGCGACCTCCCGCTGACAAGGCGAGCGTCATAACCACTAGACCACGAAGTCTTCATGGTTGAACAGGTCCAAATAACCGTCGGGAACATTGTAATATAGTTAGAAATCAGGGAACAGTGAAATTACACTGTATAATTTCACTGTTCCACGCTAGAAATACTGTCGTATATTATATATGTTATTGAAGGGAGTTAGGCGTTAACACTGTTGAATAAATATAATATAAATCCTGTATATATATATATATATATATATATATATATATATATATATAATTTGATGATTTATATTATATATATATATTATATATATATTAATACGCATTATATATATTTATTCATAATTTATATATACGCGTAACATAATGTTAATACTGATAGTTGAACAAGTTAAATAACAATTATGAAATGATATATAAGCCTATTTAATGAAATATGCCATTTATGCTACCAACTAACTGTAACAAATAATTGGAAATAAAAGTAAGCGTAATAATCGTAGAAGAGAATCACTAATGGGCACTGACCGCAAAAGTACTTTAGAAGAGCAGACGTGGTACTGTAATACATATCATCGCGTCATTTCTTCTGTCGTTCCTTACCAGAAATAGCAGCTCCTTACCGGAGAATTAGCAGGGCCGGCGGAACGTTTTTCAAAGTGGGA